TGGAGCTGGCCAGGGCTGGGGGCCTGGGGCAACTGTGCGCTGGGTTGGCAGCATGCCTCCAGACGGAGCCTGGAGCGGTGGTGCGCCAGCGGCGGGCACTGCTGCGGGTACTGCCTGAACATGAGCTGGCGGTGGCGCTGGTCCTTGAAGTTGTAAGCCTGGCAGGGAGGCAAGGGCCGTGGTGATCGCTGTCATCTGTGCCGCGAGCGTCGTGACCTGCTGGGTCAGGGCTGCGTTGTTGGCCTGCATTGCCGCCAAGCAGGCCACCGCGGAATGGGGTGATGGCTCGGTGGCCGCTGGCGCCGCAGTGGACGCCTCCGCGTGGGGGGGGGCCAGGCGGGGCGCTGGCTCCTCCCTGCCTCCTGGGCGGAAGCTGTCCTCCGGGCGGTCGGTCATGGTCATGTCTTCTTCGTCCTCGGCGTCGGCTGCCCTCTGAGCGGCCTCCTCCTTGGCCTCTAGCTCTTCGAAGTGCTGGAGTAGTTCTTCGGCTTTCTGCACGTCTTCTGAGAGCGAGCGTGTGAGGGCGACTGCTGACTTGTGGGCCTCGAGAGCCTCGTCCTCTGCCTTCTGGGCGTCACTCAGGCGCTTGCGGATGCGGTCGACGTAGGCCTGCTGCTGCTGGGTGCGCGTCTTGGAGTCCCTGGCATACATGACCATGTAGAGGGTGACGGCGTAGTCTGACTCCAGTTCGCTGATGCGAGCTGTGCGCGCGCCAATGGAGTAGGCGCTGTAAATTTGCTTTTCCAACGCATCAAGGCTGATCTTGAGCTGGTCTCTGTGCGCTTTGATCTCTTTGGGCTTCCTCGGCATCGGCAACCATAGCCGGTGCTTCTGAGCTTCTTCTGGGAGTGCGGGACGAGGAAGTGGCGGTGCATCTTCTGCTGGTACGTGGCGGACAGGGGCTTGTGCTGAGCGGGAGCGAGGCGGTCGACCACCTGATGAAGCCGTCTGCCACCAGAAGTCATTCTTCTGCCACGTGTTGTTGTTCCATTGGGGCTTGCCTGTGCGTAACTGCTGACGCCATGGGCGAGCTTCTTCGTCTGCTTCTTCTGAATGCGATGTTGCTGTCGATGGCGTAGCCACGGGCTCACAAAATCGACAAATTCTGCTGCTGGCTGGATTGGTGCGCTGGCAGTCCTTGCATTCCCAGAACTTGTACTTGGGCGGGTAGGATCCTCTGGGTCTGCTTGGCGTGCGTCGTGTCGGAGTCGACATGGCACTATGATGTCTAGCAAGGATCTCACGAGCTGCCGCGACACGGAGGAAGGCTCTAGCAATCCCTCTCTTGGCGCGGAGCCTGCGATGCCACGCTGGTTGGGGCGGTCGCCGCGTGGCGATGCCGGTGGGCTGGCGGCCCTGTCGGGGGCACGGCCGGCCTGACGCGGGATGGCGGGTCGGCGCGTCTAGCGGCAGTCCCGGAGGCTTCGCAGGTACCCTGTGTACCTGCAACCCACAAGCCTCGGGCCGGGACGGCAGCTGAGGAGGGAGGAGGGAGGAGGGAGGAGGGAGGAGGAGGAGGAGGAGGACAGAGGAGGAGGAGGACGCGGCGTAGGAGAAGTAGTACGAGAAGGAGGAGGAGGAGGAGGAGGAGGAGGAGGAGGAGGAGGAGGAGGAGGAGGAGGAAGGGTAGGAAAAGGAGGAGGAGGAGAAGTAAGAGTAGGAGGAGGAGGAGGAGGAAAAAAAGGAGAGGGTGACAACAGGCCACGCCTCATTTTCGCCTAACGTCAAAATGAGAGGGGGAGTGGCACTGGTGCGGTGTCGTCGGCCGCCGACGCCTCTGGGTATGGGATGTGTTGGAGGAGGTCTGTCCTAACAGGGGCGGCGGGGCGGGTGCTCTCTGATCATCCACCGCACCGCGAATCTGCCCATCGAATGCTCGACTCCCTACAGCCTACAGACGTGGCTAGGAGGTCTACGTTGAAGAAAAGAGTAGAGGGGGGAGGAGGAGGAAGAGGAGGAGGAGGAGGAGGAGGAGAAAGAGGAGGAGGAGGACGAGGAGGAGGAGGAGGAGGAGGAGGAGGAGGGGGAGGAGGAGGAGGAGAAGGAGGAGGGGAGGAGGAGGAGGAGGATCAGGAGGAGGAGGAGGAGGACCAGGAGGAGGAGGAGGAGGACGAGGAGGACCGCATAGTGTCGAGACTCCCAGATCTTCGTTCGGCTGGCTTGGGCGCCCGCGAAAGTCTCTTCTTGCTGCAGACGTACTGCAACGGTTGCGTCACCCACCTCTTGCGGGCCAACTACGAGGACGGCGGCTGGACTGCAAGAGTGGACGAGGCCATCGTCAGGGGGGTAGAAGACCTCCTCGGGTGCTCGCTGCGCGCCGACCAAAAGACGCAGTGCTTCCTGCGATTCGCACACGGACGCCTGGGACTGACCTCAGCGGCGGAGACGGCTGCGGCAGCTTACCTTGGAAGCTGGGCGCTGTCTTTGAAAAGTGTGCGGACGTGCCTGGGCGTGGTCTCTTGGCAGAGTTTTACTGCTCGGTGCCCTGCGGTGACTGACTCCATCAGGCGGGCAGAGGCGCATTTGCTGACGCAGGGGGGCGGAGGCGGAACCTTCGAGGCGATGGACTGGGCCAGTTGTCTCGACGAACCCTTTGCTGGTCGGCAGGGGCACTGGACCGGGCTGCAACGGAAGCGGGCGCGCGACCAGCTGCTACAGACACTGGGGGAAGACGGCCGCGTCGATCTCCGCTCGGCTGGAGGGCCAGGGGCCAGGGGTAGCTCGAAATCCCAGTCGCCAGGGGCGGGGAGACGCCAGCGAAGATCCCAGACGGTCACTTCCGAATGGCCCTCGCAGACCGCCTGCGCTGCGACCTATGCGCCCCTGGAACGCTGTGCCGGCTCCAGAGGCAGGATGGCACAGTCTGTGGCGCGCTGCTGGACAGGCGGGGAAGACACGCGCTGAAGTGCCCTTGCGGCCCTTGCAGAATGGGCAAGCACGACGCGATGCGCGATTTTGCGCGGCCTACCACCGCAAGGTCACAGGCTACGTTGCGACCACGGAGCACTTTGCTGCAGCCTGGCACCGGACCAACACGAGGACTGCGAAGTGGGAGGAAGCCAAGCTGGACGTTGCCACCCGCGACGCGGTGACGGGCACCGCGGTCTACCTGGACGTGAGCATCGGCTGCGCTCACAGCGACGACCAGTCGCGCCAGCGGGCTCGCTCCGGCCGGGATGGCCTTGCCGCCCAGACCCGCGAGGACGACAAGCGACGGAGGTACCCACCTCACGGCGGCGACCTTGTCCCAGTCGTCTTCGAGACCGGCGGGCGCCCAGGTGACGCGGCAGCGGCCTACGTGCGGTCCCTGGCTCACGGCTTGGAGGGAGCGGCGCGCACCGAGTTGCTACGGCATGCCTGGAAGCAGCTCAGCTGCTTGCTCCAGGTTGGCAACGCCGAGGCGCTGCTGGCTGCCATAGGCACTTGATGCCTGATCCGCATGTAGCCGCGCTGCCCTGGGCAGCGGCCACTGCCGACGACGCCCTACTTTGACGATTCGACCGCCGCCGACGACGATCTCTGACGATTTCCTGCAGTAGCCAGAAAACGACCTCTGCCGGCGACGACGACCACCAACGACGACGACCATTACCGACGACGGTCTCATACGACCCCCCGGAGCGACGACGACCGACCGCCCCCCGTCTTCCCCTTCTCCCTTGTTCCTTCCCTCTCTCTCTTCGGGCTGGCCGCCCTCGCCGCCCAGAAGCGGCCTCCCCTGGCTCGCCTTCTTCTCCCTCGACGGGCGCCCCTCTCCCGCAAACCAAGCGGTCGCCAAAGGCACCTGCCCAGGGCCTCTGAATTGACTTGCGTCGTCTGCACTTGGGTGGGGTTTCTCAGCAGTGGGCCCCACCTCGGTTTAGCACCTTGGCCCGCCGCGGGTTGTCCCTTCCCGGTCCCCGTTGGCCTCGAGTGATGCTGGGAGTTGTTCGTTTCCTTCCCCCCTTTTCTCAGGGCGGAGGAGGAGGAGGAAAAAGAGGAAGAGGAGGAGGAGGAGGAGGAAAAGGAGGAGGAGGAGGAGGAGGAGGAGGAGGAGGAGGAAGAGGAGGAGGAGGAGGGGAGGAGGAGGAGGAAACTGCCATGGGCGATTGATTTTGGGCGGGCATGCACTGCTCTTGTCTTCTGGTCCCGGTAGGAGAGCGCAAGGCCTTTGCGGGGGGGGGGGGGAGGGGTGGCGCTTGCGAGGCCGTACCTCTCTGGGCGTGATTACTTCCCCCTATGTAGCAGTCCTAGGGGGCGGAGGCCAACTTCGTGGTTGGTATGGGGACACGGGTACTACTGGCGCTAAGAGTTACCTTCCAACCTGCGGGGGTGTCTACTATGGGAGTGTCCCTTTCGTTATAGGGGTCGGTTTCCCAGGGCAGGGCCGGCCGGCTTGTCGTACCCGGTTGGGTTTCATCTTTCTCTGATCCTTGGGGGGAGGGGACGTGCTCCGTGCTCGTCATGGTCATGGGTGGCTCTGTAGGGTCGGTCAGACTGGTGCGAACCATCTTTTTGGGGCGTCGGGTGGGGATCCAACTGGCCAGCCATAGTCTTGTCGTGGGCCGTTCCTCCTTCTTGGGGCAGGCATGATGGGAGGGGGAGGAGTAGGAGGGGGAGGGGCGAGGAGGAGGAGGAGGAAGGAGGAGGAGGAGGAGGACGAGGAGGACGAGGAGGAGGAGGGGGAGGGGGGAGGGGGAGGAGGGGGAGGAGAGGGCGGGAGGAGGAAGGAGAAGAGGAGGAGGGAGGAGGAGGACGAGGACGAGGACGAGCTCCGAGGGACTAGGACGAGGGACGAGGACGAGAGGCACGAGACGAGAGACGAGGCGGGGGAGGGGAGGAGGAGGCGGAAGAGGAGCGAGGAGGTAGGAAGAGGAGGGGGAGGAGAAGAGGAGGAGGAGGAGGAGGAGGAGGACGAGGAGGACGAGGAGGAGGAGGAGGAGGAGGAGGAGGAGGAGGAGGAGGAGGAGGAGGAAGGGGAGGGGAAGTGAGGAGGAATGGACCCTCTTGGGCCCTCCAAGGACGCCTTCGTGGTGGAGGCGTCGCCGGGCGGCAGGTTGCTCGCCGCTCTCTACACGGCGCGCCTCGCGGCCGAGGGCGACGCCCACGCCGAGGCGGACGAGGGGCTCCGCGACGGCCCGGTGATCATGGCTTGCTTTCCACCACCACCACCACCATAAGTTGGAGGGGCGGATTCAGCTTGTGCCTGCTTCCTCTTTGTACACGTGTACCCGTTGCCCTGCTAAGGGAAGCTATGATGTGTGGCAGGTTGGCCAGGGCATGCTCGCCCGCGCCCTGTTCGGCGTCACGTTTTACCCGTATGGGCAAAGCAACAACTCCTTTCCCTCTTCCATTTCCTCCTCCTCCTCTTCCTCCTCCTCCTCCTCTTCCACCTCCTCCACCCCCTCCTCCTCCTCCTCCTCCTCCTCCTCCTCCTCCTCCTCCTCCTCCTCCTCCTCCGCCTTCCCCCCTCCAACTTATGGTGGTGGTGGTGGTGGAAAACAGGCCCATCAGGTGATGCAGATCGTCGCCCTCAGTGCGGACCCGGAGGAGGGTCAGGGGCCACGCTGCTGGGATGGGCGCGGGGGTTCCCAGACCCCCCCTCGCGCTGGAACAAAAAATCTCGGTGGGAGGTGTTTTTGTCGCCATGTTCGGCCTCCAGGGGCCCCTTGCCGAGCCCCCAGGCCGTCAAAGAACGGCTCGGAATGAAAACCCGGTCCTTGGGGAAGGGGTCCTGACCTTGGGGGGTCGAGGTTGTGAACAGCTCGTGATGTCAGGGATCTGCGGGCGCGCGGGCTACCAGTGGGTGCCCACACTTTCACTGAAAGGCGGCGCCTCAGCGGCGCATCGGCGAAAGAGTTGCATGTGCATGTCTGTGAGCTGCTACTGTACCTCGGAGCTCGATCCCTGGAAGGCTTTGTGCACATGGCGCGCGAGGGTGCCCATAATGGGTAATATCTGGACTGACCTAGCTAGACGTGAGCCACACATGCCCCAAGTGGTTCAGGGAGGTGACATCTCGGTCCGGGCTAAGTGGGTTCCGCCCATTTCGCGGAGTTCTCAAACCACCCTGAGCCACTTGGGGCTATTCTCACCCACTTACAAGCTAGGTTAGGTCAGATATCGAAGACGTCTACGGCGAGTCACCGCCTATGCGGCCAAACGATTTGACAACATTTGGCCACTTAATTACTGGACCATGCGTTTCCCCAGCCGTTGCGGAAGCCCTTCGGGGACCACGTGGGGGAGGAAGAGGAGGATGAGGAGAGGGAGGAAAACGGAGGATGAGGATATGGATGAGAGGACCTTTTGGGAGCTTATTGGGTCGTTCTTGGGCCCTCTTGGGAGCCTCCTAGAGGCCTCTTGGAGGCCTCTTAGGGGGCCTCCTTGGGTCTCTTGGGGGCCTTCTGGGGCTTCTTTGAAGCCTCTTTGGCTCCCTTACGGCGTTCCTGGCCCGCCTCACGCCGTCGAAAGCCGCCTTGGGAGCCTCTTTGGGCCGGGTCGTGTTGAAGGCCATCTTGGGCGTCTTGGAGGCCTTTTGGGCCGTCTTGGGGCCCTTTGGTGGCCGTCTTGGGTCATCTTCGAGGCCTCTTGGGCGATCTTGGGGCAATCTTGGGGGCCGCTTGGCCGTCTTGGGCTGTCGGAAGTCTGGTTTGAAGCAAAGGCCAACATCTTTCAACCAATTTTTTGTAACATTAATGATTTTGGCCACTTCGGGCCTTCCTGGGAGACCTCTTGGAGGCCTCTCGGGCCGTCTGAGGGGCCTCGTGGGCGCCTTTTGGGCTGTCTTGGGCCATCTTGGAGCCATCTTGAGCCGTCTTGATGGCTTCCTGGGCCGTCGTGGCATATGTTTGGACCATTTGGGACCCTCTCGGGGCTATCTTTGCCGTCGTGGAGGCGTCTTGCCAGCAATCTTGAGCCATTTGGGCCGTATGGGAGGCGGTTCGACCCACGAGAGCTGAATTTTCGGCGGTTTTCGGAGCGGCCGGCGCAACAGACCGAAGCCCCAGGGGGAGTCTTATTCTTTTGCACGGCTGTGTTCTAGAGCTCGGACCTCTTTATTTTCGTTCGTCGTCGTCACTCGTTCGTTCGTCGTTCGTCTTTCCCCCCCTGGCCACAGAAGGAAACTCCTGGAGGAAGGAGGCGAAAGTCTCCTGTCTCTCGCAGCTCCTTGGTGCAAGAGCCAGGGCACGTGTGCCACTTGTTTGTTTTGAACCAAGCACCAGCAGGCATCTAACACGCCAGGCACTCCATGTGATAAATCAACAGTGGGCGGCGGATGACGGAAAGCGCGCGTAGCGTCGCGACCCGTTAGCCGGGAGAAATGACAAGGGGGTGTGGGGGGGGGGGACAGGCAGCTTGGGCCTCAGATCTAATAGCCCCAAGTTTCGGCAATTTTCGGCCCAAGACGGCCCAAGTCAGCCCCAAGAGAAAGGGAACCCCCAAGAGGCAAAAATTGGCCCATTCCCAAAGGAAAACGTACATGTTCAGCATATCCGCTACAGAGTCCACAACGGCCCAGGAGGCCCCCAAGACCACCCCAGAGGCCCCTAAGACGGCCCAAGTGGGCGTCAAGACGGCCAAAGAGAGCCCCAAGACGGCCCAAGAGAGGCCCCTGAGGGTCCCAAAAGGTTCCCAAGAGAGCCCAAGGACCCCCGGGAAGGCCCGGAAATGCAATATTCTTTGATTTTCGCAAGGTTGGTTGCTCGATTTGTGTATGTCGCACCGAAGCCTTAACACCAACAGGGCTCCAAGACACTAAGCCAGCGACCCCGCGCCCTCACAAAATAAATGCGCTTTCCGTCCCCACGCCAAGCAGGTCCAGTTGCTTTGGGCCCATCCTGCCACCGTGCTTGGGATGTGGGCCGGAGTCCTCAGGGATGCTGCTCGGGGTCTCCTCGGAGCGCTGTCCGGGGCCCCTGGGGGGCGGTTTGGGGGGCATCTTGGGAGCCTCTGGAGGGCGTCTTTGGGCGCCTCTCGGGAGCCTCCTGGGGCTTCCTGGGGCCCCCTTGGGGCCTCTTGGGGGCTGCCCTCAAGATCTGGACGCCCGAGATGGGCACGGAAAGACTGGGTACGATGCCCGACAGCAGTTCTTGTTCATTCTGAACAGGATTCGCTGTCCACGCCGCCGCGGCCTGTGTCCATTCGAGACAGAAGGCCGCCTGTCCAACAGCGGCCGCTGTTGGTTCGGGACAACATTTGTTGTTGGGCATGTTGCCCATTCTTTCGGTACCCATTTCGGGTGTCCAAACAAGAAACTTACCCACCCTTTACCTCTCAGGGCCGCAGGAGCTTCGGGGCGCTCCGCTTCGTGCCAGAGGCACGGTGGCGGACATAGCCTCTCTGGCACCCTCTTCTGATAGTTAGGCCCCGTCCTGGCACAATGATTGCAGTCACCATGTGGGACAAGCCAATCACATGGACACAGATCGAAGGGGCAGATCCGGTCAACATCGATCCCCTCCGAAGAGACAACGCCCCGCGGGGCTCCAGCGTCGCCGGCGTTGAGCGACTGGCCTTGCTGAGCCACCCAGGGGCCTCAAAGCAGCAGCGACCCCAGGCGCGCCCAGGGGTGAAACCAGAGGGGGCGGGCTTGGTCGGAAAGCTCAGTCGCCCGTACTCTCGGGACTCCAGTCGGGCTCCCCCCAGCACGGGAAGCGTTGATCATAGGGGAACAAGAAGTGACATAAACATAAAAACTCGGAGGTCCGCGCGGATTTCGCGGATCGGCGCTGGACCCCCCTCCCTGGCGCGCGGAGCGCGCCAGTGGCGGCGCCGGAGGCGCCGCTTGGGGGCCCCAGCGCCGATCCGAGAAATCCGCGCGGACCTCCGAGTTGTTGTTATGCTTATGTCACTTTTTGCTCCCCTATGATCAAGAACAGCTTTTGCCGGCGCGCAGCTTTTGCAGCGCGCGACTTCACCCTTGAGGGGGGTTCCGAGCAGGCTGCAGCTTTTGCCGGCGCGCCGGCGCCCCCGCCCCGCCGCCTCCCAAGGCGCGCGCCCGCCGCGTGTCGGGGCACGGCACGCGGGCGCGGGTCCTCGGCGTCCGTTGCGCTCCGCTCCCCCATCCCAGCAGCGCTGCCCCTGAGAGGAGGGGCAGGGAGCGGGCGGCCTCCTGAGGTCTCGGGGGGGAAAGCATGGCATGTTCTTTCTGGGTGGAGGGCAAAGGGGTGAAATCGGAAGTGCCGTTTCGATGGATTCTCGAGGCTTGAATCTGCAGAAGGGGAATCACGAGACGGATAGGGATTTCGCCCTGAGCACTCCGCCCCAAGGAAGTGCCCAGGAAAAACGAACCTCTGAGATCCGGGCGTGGCAACTCTGCCCACGCGGAGCGGTTTCGCCTGGCCGCGGGCCCCGCGGGCTATACCAGCACAGGGTCGACCGGGCTCGAAGCATGCCGCGCAGGGATTGGGTCTGGGTCTTAGCAGCGTTTAACCGATCCCTATCCCCTATCCCCATCCACATCTCGAGCCCCACCGTTCAGAGCGTGAATGACCTACCCCGCTTTCGCTTCCAGGCAAGACCAAGTCATACCATACGCCTCCTCGTCAAGCGGCCTGACCAGTACATGCCGTAGTTTGGCATCGCTTGGTATCTCTTGGAAGCGAGGGTGGTCAAAAGCGAGGTAGGCTTGTTTGCCCCCTAACCGTCTCACCACCTCCGTTGGGGAGATGCCCCTCGAAACCCGAAGAGAGCAGCCTGTATTCTCATCCAGGGGGGGTAGATCGGCCAGTGGGGCCCGGTCCACGCTGGTGGGGATGGGGATCGGTTGAACGATGCTCAGGGTCTGCGGTAGTTCGGTAGCACATCAAGGGAGCTTGGCGTACCTTGTCAATTACATCTGTTGCGTCGACTGGCGTCGATATAGCGTCCGGGAATCGATGAGATAGCGCCGATTTAGCGTCGATTTAGCGTCGACTAGCGTCGATTTGCGCCGATTCGCAAGAGCCGACAAGATGGTACAGGAGGCCCCCATGAGTTGCCACCGAACGGTAACAGTTTCTCGTGGTGTTGTGCTACG